CAGGCAGCGTTCATCTCGACGGTCAGTGGCGAGCACGGGGAACGCCAGCCGCGAAAGCCAAGCTCCAGCCGAGCTGCGGGGGTGGGTTCCGCGGACACGGCCGTGGTACTCCGAGAGGCATCCAGGGTGGTGGCATATCGCCTGCCTGCGGTCCTGGCCGTAGCTCCGGATGAACCGGAGCGTCGCGCTGTACTGTGCAATAGCACTCCGATAACAGATAAATTTAGCTCTGGGGAGATAGCCACTCCCTCTGGGCCCTTCACCCGAGTAATACTTTCCAGCATAAATTAATCCATAGAAGTCAGCAGTTTATCAAAAGGAAGCAGGATAAGATGTGAGCTAGTAAGAGAACTCACTAAAAGGTTTATGTCAGAGAGCAACGAGGCTTATTGAAATAAGGATACTTGTAAGAGATGGAGACAATTTGGGAGATCAGAGGTAATAAGGAATATCAATAGTTTTTCCTAATATGTGGTATAATGATGGCTGAGACCACCCAGCTTTATCAGTTATCTGCAATGAGGTATTAATAAAATTTAGCAATCTGAATTGAGAATTAATTATATACATGTGCATTCCAACTGCTTTTTAGAAGTGATTTTCTAGTGATATCCTACCTTGATAACTAGTGAAAAGTTAGCAAATTAGTTTTTTTTTATTTAATTGCCAGCTATCATAGACATACCAGGCATTATAGCCCTTTCCTCCATTGTCTTCTGCCAGTAACAATCCTGTCCCTTTCTCAGGACTTGTGACTCCACAGTCATAATTAAAATTCAGGTGTGAGCCTTCAGCTAGCAACTCAGGCAGGAGACAGTGGCAGCTGTGTAAATTTCTCTGGCAGGGGAAGGCTGTTTCTGGGACATGAGACCTTAATCTGAGACACCAACAAGAAACTTGCAGTTACAGAGCATTCTACCTCACAAGCCTGAGTCCCACAGCTTACCAGCTCTGAGGTCAAGTGCTGGAAATACAATATAAGCCTTCTTCATGGACATGCACAGACCTAAATAACTATAGAAATCAATTACATTCCCCTTCAAGCCTCCAAGTAAAACTCTGCTCAGCCCTGGTTTTGTTGTTTCAGGCATATGTAACTGAATATGCTGTATAACAGTTTACATTTCTCCTTTCTCATACTGCTCTGTACCTTGCTCTCATACTGATTGTTTTAGAAATAAGGTTGAACAAGAGCTGCAACAAGATGGTATCTGTGCTCCAAAATGTCAAGGCTACAATGGCCTGGAGGAAACACCAGCTTCTAGCTGACTTCGATGAGAACGAGAGCCCTGTACCCGACAAAGTCAAGAGACAGCTGTCTTTGAGTTCTCTCTGTACCACCCACGTGTCGCTAAGGAAGCGAGTACCATTAAAGCAAGTAGAGCTGAATTTTCATAAGACCCCAACTTGGGAAAGTCTGGAAGCAAGACAGAAGTGCCAAACTCTTCAGAGTATTAAACGAACAGCAAAAAATGCTTTTGGAACAGTGTCCCAGGTACTTTGCCTTTGTGATAGTGTGGAGAGAGTTTTAAGTTTTGCTTTAACTTCAGTACTGAGATTTTTGGACTCTCTACAGAATGGTATATTCCAGAGTCTATCCCACGTGCTTACACACCATAATGGTTGTCTCAGAGCTACTAACTAGTAAAATCTTTAATATCCTTGCTGAAGTACAGACAGTTAAATTATGGATCTGGTGGAACAGGGAGGAAGGTGAAAAGAAAAAAATATGAGATGTAGTTTCATCAAAACTTTTATTATTAAATAAATGCTTTTCCCCTACTCTATTTCATCATGTATGGCAGAGCAGCCCTCACAAGGAGGAAGATGGGTAGAGACTGCCATTGCTTGTAAAGAATTGTCTGATAAATGTGTAGAGTGCTTTTGTGTATTTTTTTTTAGCTCATTTTTCTGTACCCATACTATTTATTAGCATGTTCTTCATTATAGTCAATCTAAATTTGGACTGACAGAACCTGCTAGATGGTAGCAGGGTAGCAAACTTGAGCTTGCACTTCCCTTTGGCTCTCTTTTGCATAAGAACAGCAGGAGCTCTGTTCCAGTGCCTGCTGAAGTCCATGAGGAGTTCCAAAGACTGGGGGAGCAAATGACTCCTCAAACACAAATGGGTACAGGGAGTTAGAGAAGCATTCATGCTAGATTAAACCTAGTATGAGAATGAAAGAAAGGGATTCGGCTCAAATTTTCCTTGTCTTTCTGGTTCCAAATTCTAGGCTATTGGAGCTCACTTAGCATAACATGCCTAACACTTCTTTCAGAAAATGCAGAAGTCTTGCCAGAGCCCAGAACACTCCATGTTGACCTTTCCAGCTGAATCCATCAGCAGCTGTGCAACCAGTTCTACCAAGAAAAAAACTACACCTCAAACAACTTGCCGTAAGAAGAATGTTTCTCCAGCAGCCAGTTCCAAAGGCACCCCAAGATCCAGCAAAAGAGCCTTGCTTGTGCCAACAATGGTGTCAAAGCGTAGGGCATGGAGGGGTTTCTCATCCTGGCTCAGTAACGATGCTGTCGGTCTCCGGAGATCAAGAAGAGCAGCAGCACTGAAGAGTCCTTATTCATCACCCATTCCTGCCAGCAGAAAGATGTAAGCCACATTCTTTTGTAAACGTCTTTTTTTTTTTTTTTTTTTTTAAATTGGTGATTAGAGTGTCTTGCAAGGTAAAAGGCAAGATATGAAGGTTGCTGTCCTATTCCCCTGAAAGGGTGGGTGCGCTGTTCAAATAGTTAAGAAAGTAGTTACAGGTCCCTCTATAGACAGAGACTGAGTGCTGCATAAAGCTGAAACATAATCTTCTGCTGTGACAAGGTCTTTTTCTGATCTGACACCGTGTTTCTCAGCACCAGTCCCCATCAGACACTAGTGATATACCAGAGTTCTTTGCTCATGCCTTTCTGGTAAAGACAAACGCTCTCCGTGCAAGGCGTGCCACGCCTCGTCAGCCCGAGCTCTTCCACAGCTGTCCTCTGCAGTGCGGAGGCACTGCAGGCAGATAGATAGCTCTGTTTATGCTGAGCTCTTTATAGAGAGTAGATTCTTGCCTCAGAGATATAACTTAGGTAAATGGTTGCGAGCTAGGGAAATATTTAATAATGCACACATAGGTTTTTGTTTTGGTAAGGGCACACAGGAAATGTCAAAGCTAGAAGCTGAATCTAAGTCTTGTGAATCTGAACCCACTGTCTGAAGTTGAAGATAGCTATCTTGGGGATGAATGGAGATGTGAAGCAATTGGTCAGTGGAGTTAAAATCATGATTGCTATAGCCCTAAACTTCCCTGGGTAAAGTCTGGAGATAATTATAGAGCTGCTGCAGGGATAGGGGCTTGGTTAGTGTAACGAGTCAGTCTGTCATGTTTGATCGTTAGTAATAACCATGCTGTTTGCAGAGAGTTTGACTGTGAGCTGGAGCTGGTCTCCTCAGGAATTTGCCAGTTGGAGTGTATCTCCCAGGCGTTTGATGATACCATTGTGGAAGAGGAGAGGTAAATACTGTTAACTCAACTTTTCACAACAGGTTACTTTGCACTCAGGCATTGCTAATTGAAGGCTAAGTTATCCCTGTAACTCAGGGTGGGGAATAGTTGCAGAATTTTCTCAGCTGTAACATAGCAGAGCCTTTCTTAAGATACCTGTGCAGATTAAATCTGCAGTTGGACTTGTAGCTTCTAAAGCCTGTCAAAATGCTCTCCTTGTTTTCAGGTTTCTTGCTGTGAAAACTAGATTTTTACCAGCAAGAGCCTACCTTTGACCTTGTGTGAGAACAGTACCCCTCTGCCTAGAAGAGGTGCCAATCCAGGCCTGGGGAGAGAGGGAAGGAATCTCATTGCACTGGCACTGTCATTGGTGCCTGCACATTTATAGGAAAATCCTCCTATTAGGTAGCATTATCACAGAGTGGCAGGTGTCAAACAGACCTCTGAAGATCAGCTGGTCTAACCCCCTACCAAAGCAGGTTCACCCAGGGTGGGTTACACAGGAATGTGTCCAGGTGGGTTTTGAAAATCTCCCGAGCAGACGAGTCGACAGTCCAGTGCTCCGTCACCCTCACGGTAAAGAAGTGCTTCCTGATGCTGAGGTGGAGCTTCCTGTGGTTCAGTTTGTGCCCATCGCCTCTCACCCTATTGCTGGCCACCACTGAAAGAGACTGGCCCCTGTGTTAACTAAAAGTCCATGGTACCCACAACTCAAAAATTCAGAGGATGCAGAAGCCTCTTGTACAACACCTGGGTTAACCCATGAGGTGACAGGCTGCTATGTTTGTAAAGGTCATGTCATTCTGAATTAGACATATTAAGGCAGTAAAAAAACCCTGAAAATCAGCAGTCTTGGCACAGGGCAATTCCCTAAACTTCTTCCCCTCTTAGAACACTTCATGATTCAATGTCATACATTCAATAATGAAATGTTAATCATTTAGTACCTAGAGGGCTTAGCATTAAAGTACTTCTATCTACAAAGAAGTAATGGCTTATAATCCTATATAAAATTTTTTACCAGTGGGACCATTTCTAGATAACAGCAGGTTAAATCTTGTATTAATTTAATGAACTGTCAGTGGATATAATTAAATCTCACTTCTAATATTCTCCCATCTGCTAGTGAAATGACAGTTTCTCTCATTCGTAACTGAAGATAGTATCAACCAGGTAAAGTAGTTCTTCACTTACCTGCATGCATCTGTGGGGAGGAAACCTGCTGTTTGGCAAGAGAAAAGCTTACCTCCTGCTTCTCTAAAGTATTATTACATGGAACCACAGGGTTCTTCCCTCATATTCACTGTGTCTGTCTCTGCTACGGCAGATCATTGTGCAGTTGAAAAACTCCACCTTTACAACTTGGATTAGTGAAACTTTGTGGGTTTGCAATGAACTCTTAAGTTGGGCTTCTATGCAAGCAGCAGCTTTCCTCACCCCAGACCAGAAAACTACCACTACTGTCTTTGTCACTTGACCTCAGTTCTCACTGATTACTAATGAAGATCACAAAGCATGACAGAACAAACTAATACCAGAGCTGTCTAACTTGATAGCCTTTCTTTTCTACCCCTAGTATTGTCTTAGCAGTTAAAATTATTCTCTCACAAGACCAGCGGTTGACACCTATATGGTTGACATTTTTAAACATAGCAATTGTACCTAAACGGATGGGAACAGGAATTATTTGCTGTAAGTTTCTAAATGTCACCTCTACTGTCAATCCACTGAACCATTACCAGGTAAATGCCTCTATTGCTTTCACTGAGATCTGTATTGTGACATTAATATTTTCACTCTTTCTGGTGGAAATGTTCTTTTTTTTTAAAGTTGCATCCTGAATGCTATGTCCTATTTTAGCAACAAAGATAGGTGTAAGATGTTGATTGCTATAACTTTTCAGGAAAAAGGAAAGCAGTTTCAATTGCTTGACTGAAGCTTTGGACAGTGATGCATACTCCTTCCACTAAGCAGTTTTCAGTTCTGCATGCCTAGACAGTGTGTGCTGCTGGCTGGTTTGTAGGTTGCCTACTGGAAAAACAATGTAATAAACTTTTTTGGAGGTGCCCTTGTAGACTTTCATATGACTTTCTTCTGGCATTCAATTGCCATGTGTTTTAGTGTTCCAGCTCCCTTTTAATCTTTTCCAAGATGAAACAAATCTTGATCTGAAACTGTTTATAGCTGCAAGCTCCATGTATTGTTCTAAAGTTTTTCGTATCAGAAAAAAACACTCCTGATGCTAATTGAAGTATTGCAGTACTTGATTTTATGGCCTGCCATTTATGCTCACTGAAGGTAACAAAATATTTTCTTGCTAGTCTTTAGAACTGTTATACAGTCAAAGTTTACAGGCCCCAGACCTCTTCCTTGCACTCATCTAACAATTCTCCAGCAATCTGCATTACAACCAGTTAATGAACCTTACTGACTTCACTCTGCTAATGGCAGATTTGTTGTTGTTCTGCAGGCAACACGCAGTATCAGACTGCTACTGTCCAGTGGCACAGAACTTACCGTCTTCTCGTTGATCTCAAACTTTCTTAAGTTACCAGAAGGCAAGCACAGAAACTCCATCAAGCACTTGGTACCTAGACAGAAATGGCTGTAACTATTGTTAGTTTATGAGCACAGCTGAAAGAGAGCTCTGTGTAGCACTTCAAAGGATACACTCTGAACAAGCCATTACATTTTATAATCTTTCTTGACAAAGCAGCCCAGGACTTCACTTGCTTTCTTTTTTCAAGTAAACAGGAGAACCAAAATTGTATCACAGCATATTATAGCCTGCTGAGATGAGTGTGACTTTGGTAAGGCAGGCAGTGCTTTCAAACATATGTTGAACTGACCAGTAACAACAGCCAGAGCAAGTGCCACAGTGATCAAAAAAGGTGGTCAAAAGTACCAGTAGTAGTTAGACTGGTATTCAATTGCCATGTTTCAGTACGAGTACTTTGCACACTAAAAGTACTGGTCCTTTATTTTGAAAGTCTAAGAGGTGTTGTTTTGTTTTGTTTTTTCCTGTATACAAACAACCCAAAAGTTAAGCATCATGTTTAACAGGAGTTAATGAAACAGTAGTGGCTTGTTTGAATACTGACCACAACTGTGATTCCAAGGCAAAAGTCTTTCTGTGAAGTCACTCAAGCCACAAGATAGAAGCCAAATTAGGACTCTAATTCATGATCTTAAGGATTTCTATTAGATTAGCCTAACTGTGTCGTAAGTACTTCAGTTCCAGACACATCAGAGCAACTTTATGCAACTTGCTACTGCTTTGAATAGCATCTTGCCAGTGGAGTTAAACATTGCTTTTGTACTACAATGACTGTCATCTAGTTATACACAGTGGATATTGAAGTTATTCTTTTCATGTACTGAAACTACTTCTGTACAGCTTTAACCAAGACGGTGTCTCATTACTGACATTCTTTTATATGACTTTTCAAAAAAAGGATTGGAGTTTTGTGAAGTCAACCTCCAACCAAAATATTTTTTCATGCAGTCAGATGCATTAAACAGCCTCTATTTATACTGCTTCCACTAGTTACTAGGACATGTACAATGATCTAATAATTCCCACATCACTGGTAAGAAAAATCAGTGACAGTTTGCTTAAAGGCAAGGAAAGTTTTATTTAAGTGACTAATCTGTCATACAATTTTAAAAACCAGCTCACATAAAAATCTGTAACAGTTATAGAAATCTTACTCCTTATTGCATATCAAGAAATTCATTATTGTACTTTTTTGAATCTTTACAAGGCAGTCATGAGAAATATAAACATTTGTCACCAGATAGAACCTTCTCACTGACAAACAATATTTTAAAGTATGCACTTACTTAATAAAAATATATACTAAGAGAACATGTACAGTTTCAAGTTTCCTTGTATGAATTCAGTTCTAAGTGGACTATCCCCTTTCCTCCCCCACAAACAGAAAAGTAAGTTACACAGAAGGCTTGGGGTTCTGTGAGAGGACTGCCACTGTGGGCCCTACGCCAGACCTCAGGGAATAACTTTGTTTGAAGCTTGCCATCTGTAAATTGTGTTTCAGGTGTTGTAATCTCTGGTGTATCATCTCCCAGCATGTCACAGTAAACCTACCCCTTGTCCTTCTCCCCTTAAGTTCTGTACCTCCTTAATAATGAGAAATAAATTGTCAAGTTGTTTGTTTCACATTCCTCCATGTCCCACAGTTCTAGCCAGTTTCAGAGGTAGCTTATTGACAAACACAAATAGAGGGTAAAGAGTAATCCTCTTACCTTGGGCTTTTGAATTAAAATGAGTGAAAGGAAATGCCAATTTCGTTCATTCCTGTTTGAAACTTACTTCTGCATTCTAAAAGCCAACGGGAGCTTAGCTTCTCAATACACCTTAATTCATTTTCAGGTAGTTAACTTTTCTGGAATTGATTGTCTATTATATTACACTGAAGTAAAACATTTCTTCCTCCTCAGTCAGCACAACATAAGATTGTAAACTGACTTTGGACTTGGTTAACTGGTAGGTAACAGCACATTCTGTTTCAGCTAAATTCATTGCACTGATTTAGCCTCCACAAGCTGCTTCCTAAGTGGCTAAGCAGTTTAATTCTAAGTGCAATATTAAACTAAAAACTGTATTAAATCAAGCTGGACTTCTATTAAAGAGAAGATTTTTTTACAAACACAGCTACTGATGTCCTGCACCTAGGCCAACAAATTTTATTTCACACATCTTCATGCTTTACTTAGAAATGCTGGAGAGGCAGGAGAGCTGACTGATTTTACTTCAGTGAATGGTTATTTCCAGGTGCTGGGGTTTTTGTTTTGTTTTGTTTTCCCAATTCAGGATGATTATGGTCTTGAGTAAGAATTAAAGTAACTCTTTTGATCACCCTGACATCACAGATAAACAGGTGGTTTCCACCAAGGCAGTACATCCTCTACTGTTAATTTCAATAAGAAAAGCTTCTTATCAGTCTGAAGAACACAAAGCTATACCCTTCAGCAGTCTTTGCCCCAGTGAACAGACTGCAAAATAGCCCAAATCATACTTTCTTGCCACAAGATGGCTGATTACAGTCATCCAGTCTCCATACTTGGCAAGACCAAGTGCTCCTAAATTGAAATGCACTGAGGATTTGTGTTGCAGTAGGGAAAAGCTCATTAGTCTGGGCACCTCCAAACCATCAAGTAAACAGATGATCGCTGCTTCAAACCTAAGCTGACAATACCGTGACAAAACCAAGAAAAGATAACTAACTGACCCAAATCTCTCCCTGCACCCCCTCCAATCCTACACAGCTTGGCCTCTTCCTGATCACAACAACCCGTCCCAGCTTGGAGCTATTACCTGACCGCCGTTTTGATGGGGGATACACAAACACCAGCTCTCAGTCTCTTCTCTTTGGGTGTGTTGTAGGATATCCGGCCACTGCTGTTGGTCAGCTCTGTGCCAAAGTGAACCCACCTACCCGATGATGACTCGGTCATTATGAAGATATCAACCTGCAAAAACAACCAACCAGTCATCTAGTGTGACAGCAAGCAAGGTGCCCCTTACTTAAAAGGCCTGCTAAGCCTAGATCACATTAGGATCTCCAGCTAAGGCTTGTACTAAAAGCTTACACATAAGTTTGAAGGAACTTCAGAGCTCAGCAAAAACTTCACAGAGGGTCCACTCAATTAGAAAATGCTTCCCAACACACAATATATGAGTGCCTTCATAATTTAAAGTACTTGGCTTAGCACTGCAAGTGTCAAATTAGGCCATAGAGTTCAGAAATTTGCAGCAACACTGAACTAGAAAAAAAGACCATTTCAGCTTGCATATGTATATTACATTTTTGCATACTAAACCTAAAAAAAATGGAAAATTTCATCTGAATATTCTCAAAATGAAATATTTTTCAAATCACAACCTTCCCAATAAATGCAAAATCTAAACTAACCACTTCAAATTATCAAGAGTTTGGGTTGGTTTTTTGTGTTTGTTTTTTTTTTTAAATGTTTTCATCAATATGGTTTTGTTCAACAGAAATATTTTATCTAAATTAACACAAAAATGTATGAAATACTTTGTCCAACTTCAGTTGGCATTTTCGGCAATAAATAAATCTGTAAGTCTGAGGAAGGTATGTGCCAAGCTCTCCTTCTGTACTCAATTTTTACAGAACTTAG